TATAAGTATAGTATATAGTATAAGTATAGTATATAGTATAAGTATATAGTAAATAGATTAATCCGCGTATACACATCAATCATGATTTAATGTTAGTATGGCTAAATCTCAATTTAAAGGTGATTGTTTTCTATTGTCGTCTGAATGACAAATGTTCCTTAACTCGTCGAGTACCGTATTTATAGACACAAATAAAGAACAATAGGTTGCGGTCACCGGTGTCCTCGCGGTGTTTGACAGTTTAAATCGTTCCAGTGTGAGTAGGTACTCAGCGTATGTCTGCGGTGTGTGGATTTTAGATTATTTGTTTTATAGTACTGTAAATGCGAAGGTTGTCTGTCCTTTTCGTTTAAACCAGTGTTTTTTAACCTTTTTCATGATCAAGAACCAACTTAGGTCATTACACCGCTATGCCAAAGCTCTGTAGGCAGTACAACATGGTATCAAAGACAGGAGCTAGACATCTGCGAGTCTCTTTCCAGGTACCGGAGACGATTGAGGGATTTGATTTTGGACTGTTGATGTTCCGTTTATATTTTAATGCTTTCAATTCTTTAACGAATTCACTGCCCAGTGAATTTTTCTCCAGTGCCCGAATTATAAGACGTAACTACAGTGTCCCGCACGCACTATTGCGTTCGATGTTTGCCCTTTTCATGTGCCGGAAACTCATATGTAAGTATATGAGAATCCGGATCTTACGGCGTTCTTACGGCTCTCACCGTGTGCCCGAAACTCGTATATGCGTTCGCTCGACTCTCGGCGGGTGCCCGCAACGCGTCTCTGTGCGTTTGTTAATGCCACAAAGTTGTATAACGCTGATAAATTTTTCTTATGCAAGCAACTTGTTGTGGTACTGTTTCTTAACATTTGTTTTTTTTATTCTTGTGAACCATTACAAGTTGTCCTCTATCCTGAATCCTCTATCTCAATTATATATTAACTAGCTTTTACCCGCGGCTTCGCTCGCGTCACAAAAGGATAAAAAGTAGTCTATGTGACATATCCCAATACATACAGCGCCATCTATACCAATACTTTTGTTTGCCCTCGTGAATATCAAATTTTTTCGGGATTATAAGTACCCATTATTTAATCCAGACTACTAACTTTACGTCTGCAAAAATTCAATACAATCGGTTTAGTAGTTACGGCGTGAAGTCGGAACAAACAAACAAACTCACTTTTCGATTTATAATATAAGTAAGGATTTTTATGTTATTGACTTTGTCTATAATTAACATGCATGCTGTGATTTCCTTTAATTGAAACAGTGTAGATACTTACCTAACCTAACATTTTGTATACCCGTTCAGCTCGTAAACAATGCCCTAAACTAAAACTTACCCCTAGAAAACTGATGGTCACTGTTTGGTGGTTCACAGCCGGTGGTATTCATCACAGCTTCTTACCAAAGGGTAAGAAAGTGGGGTGACCGTTACTGTAGATGTTCCTGTGAAGAACTGAACACTGTGGTGGAGAAGCTGGCACATCTCCAACCAACATTGATCAATAGCTTGCCTCCGCTGCTCTTGCATGACAACATAACGACACGACGGTCTCAAAGTTGCAAAAACTGGGCCTGGAAGCTCTCCGTCATGTGCCCTACTCACTAGACCTTGCGCCCACAGGCTAAGTACTACTTTTTCCAGAATTTGTTTAACTTCTTGGCGGGAACAAAATTCAATACCCGATAGGCAGTACAATATGCCTTTGAAGAATCCCGTCCAGCCGATTTCTGAAGAATTTGTGAATTTTCTGATTTCATCAGCTGAAGGGCATCAAATGACTGCCACTGCGTGGGCAAAGATGCAAAGAAGAAGATGATTTAAATTAAAATTATGAATGTCATTCAAGAATAATCTCGTACACACTTTATTAAATCTCCTAGTATGAACTCCTGGTGCCATGTAATATGTAGTATTCATTTCATTTTATTAATAAAATTCGAGAATGTTTTTCTACTTACTTTTTTATGAACAGAGTACCAAGCACGAATAACTATCGCATTCGTAACGTAATAGTATCGAGCGCGTTCGTCGCTCTGATTGGCCGGCTCAAGTGAACCAACCAATCATAACGCTTGTTCGTGCTTGCGTTGTTCGTGGTTGGCCCTCTGAGCGCCGAACGCGCTCGATACTATTACGTTACGATTGCAGTAGTTATTAGTGCTTGGTACTCTGGTACCTCAAAGTATGAAGTATTTGAGTGACTTTGTGTCATTTTAAATATTGAAATTAGTTTATATAAAGTAACACAAAATGTGGCCTTCTTTCTTTAATCAGTTATAATTTGCTGAAGTATATTGGTATATATGAATAAGTGACATTTTACGAAGAGATAGGAAAATAAAACATCAAAAATACAATTTTTAAGTTGTTTATTAAAATAATATTCGTTCAACTGAACACAAGACATGGGAACAGACCTAATGAATGAGTTTACTAATTTGTCAAATTTTTACTACAAAAAAAAAAATAACTGGCATTACAGCCAACTGTCTTTACCCTCTTAACAATAAAAAACAACCTATAAAATCTATCAACATAAAGACGCGAAGGTATATAAAATACCTGCAGTGGTTTCAAACATAATTTGGCACAGACATAATGATATCATTACTTCTTAACTGGTCGAATTTCCCTGGCAATTAATAGTCCTAGATGGTTTTGGCACGGAATAAAAATCATCAAGTATTAAAAATAAAAACTTCCATCGCATACTTTTTCCGAAATAATAATAAAGTAATAAAAAAAAATCAAATCCATCATTCTCTATAAAACTCAAAAATAGACCTTATTAATTAATTTTAAGAAAATCTAATTATACATTTAGAAAACTATACAGTACCCATTTTCATTTAATATTGCACAAATTCGGATTTCATGCAAATCTTTAAAATGATCGATATTACAATTTTAATGTTCATCTTTCGGTCAAAGTATAAAAACCTGATGCCTTCGCATGTAAAATATTTTGAATTGATATAAGTTGTATCGCTTTAGGTCAGCTGATCCGATAAAAATTCAATCAATAATCACCAAAAGTAATTTATAAATCAGTGTGGGGGTTGGTATTTCAAGTAACAACGTTAAAATTCTTAATAATAACAATAAAAAGTAATTAACAAAAATCATTTGTTGGACAAAACAAACCATCCGAGAACATTCCGAGGGCACTAATCGCTTTAATAATAATATAAATGCAATATCTTTATACCAAAATGTCCTATATATTCGTGAATTACAAATTTATTTACAAATTTGACTCCTAGGGGTTTGCCAATTATAAAATATCTTGTGTCTTCGTATGTACCAAACATTTTTTCAGTTTCGAGTCAGTATTTAACTAATATTTTTCTTTTAAACTTCTTTTTATATAATAATAAATGTATACATATGTAAGTAGCATAGTACACTTATATTCTAATATGACACAGTTAGATTATAGCTATATTTTTACATCATGTATGTACTTACACATATACAGAGTGGTGTTGTCCCGATATGCCATTCGACATGGTTACTTTCGTCGGCCACCTTGCGGGTATAATTGTAACTTGTAGTGCATTTAGCGCAAGATAGATGGCGTTGTTATAAAATTGTACTAGGAGACCCTATTTCGCACCAAAGTTGATAATTAGCTTAAAAATCTTGCGAAACGAAGTATTATAAATCAATACATTTAACATGTTATCTTTATAGTCATAATTCCATTATTAAACAACACAATACATATCAAATTCACTAACGAAGACACATTTAGTATACGTTACAACCAACGACGTGTCTTTTAACTCCATTTTTATAAATTACTTACGTGTATATTTAAATATATCTCTAATATATTGCGCAAAGGGCACTCGGCACAACACCTTATAATAAACTTCACTCATACAACGTGCCTAGTCTAATCTACGACAGTCTAACAAGTTCCGTACAACGGAAAAACAATTTTCCCTCCGTTCGCCTTAACAATAACTTTATACACGCATACCGCGAAGGGAAAACATTAATAACTAAATTCAAAAATCTATAACGCTACATGGAACCGTCATCTGGTGCAGGCCATAGGAAAGTTATTAGAACATCAGGCCTTAGTCGCAAGTGACGAGTAAGCATTTTACAACCACTCCCCATACAGAAACATACAAAAAACATACAAAATTAAATTCTCTCAGCACTTCACACTGATTAAAACCATCTAAATAATAAAAAAAGTACGAATCAGATGGCTCTATTCCATTCAAAGTGCGAAAAACAATATTTTTTCAACATAACGTATGCTAAGTATGTTTCTGTATTCAAATTAAAAAATTAGGTCCGATCAACAATGATCCACGTTAGGCGAATGCCCAATCGTCAAGCAAGAGAGGCCTGTTAAACAAAAATAGTCCGTAACAAGAGAGCTGGATATGCGAAAATTGTTTGACACAATATTAATTAATGAAAAATATCGTGCATGCATTGTTTCGATGTTTAAATAGATATAAATTGACAATTTTTAAACAGTAATGTAGTTTTTAAACTTTAGTAGAGAACTTGATTAGTTATAGTTGTTTAAAATCAAAAGTTTATAATAAAAAGTTACTAAAAGTAATGCTGACTATTCATGGTAAAGTTGGTAAGGGAATCTCGCCTTTATTGACCAAGTAATAACGTTCATAAGGAAAGAAAACGTGCCAAATTAAAAATGAAAATTGGTGAAAAATAAAGTTGAGGAAAAGTAATGACTGAAATGTTGAACATGATTCGACGATAGGCATTTAATTCTTAACGCTCATTTATTGGAATAAACAGTAGAGAAAATTGTAGCAATTGACAAGTCAGTATGAGTCTTGAGTACCTGAAGGAAAATGTCAGAAAGTTATTGAAATCGAAACATGGCACATTGTCATGTGAGTGTGAGCAAGCACTTGGTCAACAAGGCGCGGGCATAATGCACTATAATGACTTGACTCGGGCTCACAATTTTGAGATCACTTCGACTGAAGAATGGACTACTTATAGTACGTTACTGTAGAACCAGCCACTCTATAGTTGCACGACTCCGAGCCACAGGACCACCGAGCACTTGGTGCAGTTATATTAATAGTTACACATTAGGCCCTTTTAAATATTACATGAAACTGTATGCTTTAGGTTATACAATATATTATTAATCCGCTATAGTTCACGAAAGTGCCGGCAGTCCCATGACTCAACACTCGTCAATAAGCCGAACAGAGGTAGGTTAGTCATTACGGGTTCCTCCAAACATTTGTTATTGAGAACAGCAGTAACAATCGGTTCTTATCGTAATGTTCATATCACAACCGACACGACTCAATTCACGCCGCGGCCGCTAGGTGGCGGTAAACGTCTCACGCACTGTTCGATAGATGTCGCCACTCGTCCGATGTAAACTAGCCGCTCTGTAGTCCGCCGGTATAAGTTCAGTAGACAAGATCATCGAGCGGAGCAGAGAACGGATAGTTTGCACTGCACTGCGTGTGTCTGTGCTGCCCGGAGCCGAGCGCGAGCGTCCGGCGGCTGGCGGGCAGACAGGGTACCGGCACTATGACACCGAGATGACCTCGTGGCCGGGGCGCGGCGCGGCGCGCGGCCAGCTCTGTGACGTCAGCTGGCCCACGGACAGCGGGTTGTTGGCGTCGCGCGGGTTGGTGCCGACGGGGTGGCGCGGCGCGGGCGCGGGCTCCGACGCGGGCGACGCCAGCGACGACAGCGCGGAAAGCGCACCCGGGCTGGACGCCGAGTTCAGCGGCGTATCAGCATCACCATCGCTCGACGCGTCCGACATCTCCTCCAGCTTCACGTCCTCCTCAGAGCAGGGCGACTGGGGGGTCGCCATCGGCATCGGCACCGTCCCCGACGCGGCCGCTAGGGCTTCCATGTAGCGTACGCACTTCTTCTTCCGCCTATAAAAAAATAACATTTAATAGATAGTCAAAAATGTGTGAGCAAAACTATAAGGCTGTTTCGAAAACGTTATCAGATTCATTTAAAATTCGGCTTAAAATGTTTCGAATTTTAAGTGATTAAATAACGGTCACGAAACAATCCTGCGCACAATAAAAGCTAAACTACCCTACTGGACAAATAACACAGAAATCATAATCACAATGTTAACTGAAACATGCTGAAAACAGGTTAAATAAACTGAAAAATAAAACCACGCGAGTAACATTGAACACCCATGCTGAAACTTGTTAAATATGTTCAGTATACAACTGGTACACGTGAACCTAGGTACATAGGCTTTGGGTAGCGTTGACTGAAATAACACTAATTAATTAACTTTTAGATCATTTCGTTTCACCAAAATATTCTAAATGTTTTTAGTCCCCGTAATGTTGATTTCGGAAGAATTTACGCGTTGTAAAAACTATAGAAAATAATGGATTTCTTAATAATCGAAAACTGACATAAGTAAGTTACCAAAAGGAGGATATACACTAAAGATCTTTGTAGGAAAAGTTAGTCATAGATCAACAAGGTTGGCTTAATTTCCATTTTAACTTTTAGTAATTTTGGAGTCCTTGTTCAAAACAATCAAAATCGACATCGCCTATTTTGTTCTCAGTCACTACCTACACTTTTGACTCCAGCCAACGCTACCCAAGCATCGTACCTAGGTCCAAAGCAAAATCTACCTACGACAACATATAACACTTCATTCCTTTTCGAAAAAAACATTCAGGCTTCATCTTTAAAATTAAAATCATCTAATGCAAACATGTTTAGAACGCAAGCCCGCTCGCATACGCCGGCGTACTCGTACGCGTATCGTTACGATTAAAAAAGTCTTTGACGATACGCCTCGTGTTCGGTCTTCTTTGAACATGTATTTTTACTTTGGTCTACACGTAAACGATACGTTTAAAGCCCTATTTCATTAAGTCACCGCAGTTTTGGACAACCACCTGGTGTCAAGTTGGTGGCGCAACTGAAAAGTTGTGGGCGACCAAATGCACCATAGTGTTTGTTTTGGTGTATCTCTGTAGTCTCTACAGTTGTGGCTGGTCCGCTAGGTACGACAGCGATGTGTCAATGAAATAGGGATTTTCGTATGCGAACGGACCAATAACGTATTTTAAAGATATTTTTGAGCCATATTTAATAAAAAATCAATCTAATTCTGTATACTACAACACTCAGATTCTTTCAACTCTGCACCAACCGTTGAGTGGCCGTCGGCGGGGTGAGGCCGGCACTAGAGGTTTACGTAGGTAGGCTCTTGAGGGCTCACCAGGCTGGAGGCCGGGAGTGAGGTCGCCGGCTCCGGCCGGAGGAGGCCCAGCCCTCCGGAGACCATCACGCTACTTGACTCGGGGCTGTGCCCAGCAATGATACAGGAAAAATTGATGAAGGTGCCAGGGAGGTTTGATGATATTTAGTGTTAGACAGGATTGATGAGGGTCGAGGGTTTTTATGAAGGAAATAGAATAGTTATTGAATATTAATTGTATGTACAATAAAGCGGAGAAAATAGCAGTAAATAAATACAAACAAAAAAACATCGAGTCAAGTGGCGTGTGGTAAAAAAATCGAAATAAAAATTGAAAAAATAATAAAGTGAACGAAAAAATTGTTAAAAATGATCAGTAAACGAGTCACCAATAGTGCCAGCAGGTCCAGGGTCCATGAGAAGCGGCAATCATGAGTGGAAAAAACATTTTGATAAGTAAACATGAACCTTACAACGCATATTTATAAGAAGCGAGCCGATTCAGAAAATGTGTCCAGATTTTTTTGAAAGCTTTCGACAAATGATTGCCCTTCCTCCCTCGCCGCCTTAACATTCCCTATACTACGTCCACCTTCGGCTACTTTCAAAAAAATCTATTCATTTTTATCTAAACATTTCTTATTTCTTTGTGAAAAGACACATTTTCTGAATAAGCTCCTTCGCCGTATATAATCCTTAATTTATATACTATAATGTAGTAAAACATAAAAATAATAATAAAACAAAACTACTACATAGATCTTTTTTTAGATATCTTAATAGATTTTTCTTAAAATATAATTGCCAAAGTAAAGTGACCGGGCTACTCTTGGCGTGTCAGTTAAGCCAGCCAAGTCTTTCCACAGAGAAACAATGAATTAACTGACCGTACTCTAAGTACCGTCAGCTAATCAACACTTAATTTTTGCACAAGCGAAAAGAAAAAATAAAAAGATAAAGTCAATACCGACCTGCAAGGCTTGCACCATTGACTTTGTTGGTCGAGACCGTATCTCGCTCGACACTTCTTCAAATTGTTTCCTGAAAGTTTTACAAAAATACGTGTTAGTACACATTCTAGAGTGTCTAAAACTATAATCACTCGTACCACTCAACCAATCGAAATTTAAGCAAAACAATACTAATCAAACATCGCAAAAGATCACAAAAAAATATGATGTCGAGTAAATTATTTGTCATCGTTCAAATAAAAAGAAATGCGTTACCAAAGGCAATGATCAAATTAAGGGTAATTAATTTACTGGAAATCATATTTGAAGCGTTTAAAGACATGACAGCTACTACGTAAGTACAACTAGTCTACAAGCACAGCATGCATCCCTCAGTGTTAGTCCATGCAAGGCGGGATGGGAGAAATGAACGGGAACAACGGAAAAAACATTGGTTTTAAAATAAACTACACGCATAAACTTTGAACAAAATAAATGCTAAAAACTACGCTATTGACGAACAAAAACAAATAAACATGACGTCTATAAGCAAATTGAAGCAGAATAGGTTCTCCGGAATCAAAATAAATATTTGTGAATTTATTTGGCCAGTATCATTGCACCGCAGACACATAAGCATCAGCAGCCGTGTATCTAGTCCTCGGTGTATCCGCGCGTGGACGTGGCTCCACATGTCCACACTATAGTCTGTGGTACCGAGAGAAGGCTGTCCCAGCCTCGTCCGACATCAAACTACTCTCCCTGCAAAGCAATTACTCAAGTACTCAAATATTGACTTGCTTGCGGTGAACATGCACGCTCCCTCTCGCACTCGGAGCAAAACGGAAGCTTCAAACCGGGACAACCTTCGAAGGACTTGCGTGACGATCTCTCTCTTAATATAGCGTTTTAAATCAAATAAATAAATGCGATAAATATTAAATAAACAAAAATACTTGTATATATAATATATTGTATGTCTACAACCTCGTACCCCTTCAACCAAGACTGTGTTACTATGTCGCTCGGTCCGTTCGGAGCGGAGTTCAAAGCAATTGAACTCTCGCGGGAGAGGATTGGGGCAGCGATGTTCGCGGGGGCCGGGGAGGGGCAGGAGTGAGCTGCCAACGTCTCCGGACTTAATCCTTCGTTAATTGACCTCATTTTTTTAATGAGCCGATGCGAGTATCGCATTCAAACGAGACGTTCGGCGCTCCGGGACATGTGTCCGCTTCGTGACCGACTTACGACATCACGCCAAAGCTGAGCTGTCCAGCTGAATCACGACGCGGGATGGGAATGGGCTGTTGGGACTGACAAGGACAGGGGGGGATGGGGAGGGACGCTCGTCGACGGAGTGAAAGGCAGTACCTCCATCGGTTGTCTCCTGTTTTCGTTTCCTCTTCTTGCCCCTTTGCGTATTAGCCCTAGACGACCAATCGGGATAGAGTTGCATGTGCAGCTGCCGCTCTCGGCGCGCCAGCTCGTAATACTTGGCTTGCTCCTCGCGGCCGAGCGCATGCCACTGTATCGTGAACGCGCCGAATATGGAAAGAAAACAGAGAAATGCACTGTGACGGTGGACGCGACCTGGGCACGTGCTAGCGACCGGCGACCGGCGACCTAATCGCACAATTTTGTCCCCTACAGAATGAGAATGGCCAATTGTGATGTTCCTCCCAGAACCTATTCTGCGGTCGGTTCACGCGTCTCGACTAGACATATAACAAACCAATATAGTTTCCGGTCGGGGGTGGGCGCACAGTACACGTTCACTGGACGACTACAGTACACAGAACACGTAACACGTAGACGACGGCCAGCCGTCCTCTAGCACAGCGGCCGCAGACACTACCGCTCACATACAGGCACGCACACACACACACGGGACGGGGCGGGTTACGGATGCGACGTTAGTGTGGGGGCAAGCCGTCGGTTAACACGTGAGGCCACCGGACAACAAGCAAGTCTCCTGTGTTAGTGGGGGTGCGGGACTCGTCAGGGAGGGTAAGCAGTGTTCAAGCGTCCGTGTGACAAGAGCCCCGTGACGTCGCTGCTAGCTCCAGTACCTCCCAGCTCTGCGGGACTGCGGTCCTTTTTCCGCTTTTTCTTTTTGGAGCCGTAACCGTAGTTGTCCCTGGCGCTCCACCCGGGGTACAGCTGCATATGGAGCTGTCGCTCTTGTCTCGCTTTCTCATAGTACTTTGCTTGTTCCTCGCGGCTCAACGAATGCCACTGCGTATTATGACACCAGGATATTGGGTTACCAGTCGCCGACATGTGGCTCGACTCAGTTTTTGTAAATACATTGTTACTCTTGTTAGGAATGAGATCGCGTTCCGGGGCTACGGTGAGCGGGTTCGGTTCTCGTAATGTTACAGGCTAGTTATTATTCAATGCATCTATTAGATATGAGATAGGGGGCCGCATTGTCACGCGCGGCGCGAGGCTGGACGCGCGGTGACGAATCGTATTCCTAACAAGATTAACAAAGGCTCGTGCAATATTATGCAGAGCCAAACATTGATATTGAATGCGGACACAATCGATGTTATTGCTTACATCACATTAGCGAACTTCGTCTCTTACTAAAACGAGGTTGTTGACATCCATTTAACCTCTGATTAGCTAAACCTCTTTCAATTACAGCTCGATGACGTCATGTAAGCAATGTCTACAATCCCGATGTATTCTACTGTTGAATAGACGTTGCTTTACAAGTGCCGGTTAAATACATAATTAATTGATTAATTAACGAGTTAAGATCGGATTGATTGACAGTCGTGATGCAAGATGCTTAGCACTGCTAAATAAATCTTTATGTAGACACTGGTATTGATGTCACGACTGATTCAATGAGCTTGGATCGTTTAGAGATAGGTCGAAGACTCGTGTTATTGACAATGTTACTGTAAATGCTATAAATGAATAGTTTCTCGTAACTTGGTCATAAACTGAGGCACAGTAAATTCAGTAAAACGGATATTAAACCCCATCCGACAGAATACTACATCGGGACTGATGTAACGTCAACATAAACCTGGTACTGGTCGAAAATAAAAACAAAAAAGAAAATAAAAACAAAATTAATTCAAATAAAGAATCATTTAAACTTTTAGTATTTGATTTTAGAATTGCAAATTGAACTTCGAACTGGAATTTAACGACAAAATTTTGAATTTTTATAATAAGAATATTCGAATTAACGGTTTTTTTTTTATTTTAAATGTGGAAAGTTTGAACTCACCCGTCGGCCAAGAATTTGATTGATGGCTGCTGACTCTTTAAGTGTACATTCAGCCACTACTTTTGCCCTCATTTCTTTCATGTAAAGCATGAAAGCATTTAAGGGTTTCTTTATATGTGGCTTCTTATTTTGTTCCTTGCTATTCGAATTGGCTGAACTGTCTGAAGGTTTGTCGCTTGAAGAACTGCTACTGCCTTTCTCTAGCGATCTGAAAAATAATAGCGTAGGGGGTTACGACAATGTTTGGTGCTGGCTACCTTAGAGCCCTTTTCAGGTCAGTAGTCAATACTACCCAAGAAGAAATCCCAATGGATTTCTTCCTTTCATAGTCTTAGAGAAATATCCCCACTTTTTTCGCAAAATCATTCGGTTTATTGGCCTCGAGTTTTTATATAGTTTTATACGTTAAAGCCGGTTCTCTTCTTATCAAACTTTAGGCTCAAATTGTCACGCACCTCTTTCGATTAAAATTAACAATCCCATAAAATTCGTCAACCAATAAAAACCAATGATTATTTTTTTCTAACCATACTAAAACCCATTCAGCAACAGTTGTAGTGGGATCGATATGTTAATAACTAGTTTAGGTGTTAACGACACACAGACAGACGACAATAAACAGTGTGCGTCCGGTTGGAAATAGACGCGGCGTTTCCGGCGTGCGCGGGCGCAGCCGATCCGACACGAACGATGCCGAGTAGCTTCGTCATTACGGAGAGAATACTGATTTCAAAATTTGTTTTTTTTTTAATGATCCGTTGATTGTTTTATTGGTTTCTTTTTATACTCGACATCGATCTTTAGACAGTTTAGGTGGTCTAAGAAGTAGACGAAATAATATTTGTAGTTCTAGTGGTGGACACTGTGGTGATGTCTGGTTTATGGTATACAAGTGTGTATAAATATATGTATGAGTCTCTCTACCCTAACACATCAAAAGTATGATAGAAATTCACGCAGATTCGCAAACCTACACTCTGTAGGACGACCAAAACTGTTTAAGGACGACAGAAAATGTGATTATGTGATCCCAAGGATTAAAAGAACTATACTAGCAAATGATTAAACTGGTCTTTCGGTCCCCAAACCGGAATAAACCAGATCTCATCAAGACGAATTACTACAGCGTGGATTCTATGAATTCTTCCTGTCAATCCGCTAATTCTTCTACAAATAAGTAAAGTCTAAAGAGATTACTCACAGATTAAATGGTTTAAGCAGTTTGAAATCTAAACCAAACAATCTTAAAGTGGAGTTTTAAACAAACAAATTAGTCATAATGTCGTCTGAGATGAATCTAACAGTACACAAAGAAAAGATGATGACCGTATTCGTGATTTCCCAAAAATAGACGCAAAATTTAAAGTCTTTACGAATGACTGCGACGATAAGAAGTTCGTAACTCATCTTCTAAGGTTGCCGCTGAATTAAGACTAAAAATGTTTATCTAATCTAGGTTTTTATGAACTAAGTCATAATGTAATAATTTTAGTCAATTAGCCACTGCTCTTGGCGTAAATTCTCAGAAGATTATGGTAGGTTCTGTCTTATTTTTTAATTCTGTTAGGTAAAGGTGTCGAGACAACGAGTAAAGGTGTTCAGTGTCAGTGACACTTAGAAATGACACTGACATTGAGTAAGTCAGTGTCTCAAAGACACTGATTGTGTAAGTGATTCCATAAATTCTTTTGATGATGCTTTAAATTCACTTCATCAGATTTTGGAAGTTAAGGCAAGTTGTGGCCGTTGTCACGAACCCATAAACCATCGCTTAACTAAGAATTACTTAGCGGGAAGGAGCACCTCACCTCCAGGAGTTTAGGAGTCACTTATAGTTTGGTGAAAACCAAAATGTCGTTAAGTGTTACCTATCTTAGTTAAAATTTAAGGTATATTTTGACTGGATACTTGTCCAAGCCCTAAGATGAAACACTTCACTCCAAATACAAGACGTCCAATAAGAGTACTGGACGTCTTATACAGACATAGGCTTCTCCCAATGAGATCAGGATAGACAAATAGCAGAGCGAGTTAAAACATAGATTTGAAAATTTTATGCTGTCTACCAATGATTGGTAAATGACAGATGTGACGTCAAGATGTCGGCAATAAAAGACATTCCAAAAATTTAATGACATCAGAACGATGTCCACCTTCTCCATTAATTAGAAGACACCACAACAGTTTCGAATCCGAGAAATGAAAAACGTAAAAAGCGAAACGAAATAAAAAATGACTTCCGGAGCCGAGAATTCTAAAATCGTATAAATAGATATAATAAAATATATTGTCAGTGACATATAGCTGTTGGTTATACCAATACATATAAAAGTTTTATACCAAATTAGTTCCGAATATAACTAAAGTATCAGGCAATATACGACTTCCTACACATTTTAAAAATGGGGAATGATATAAAAAGAGAAAGAAAATCCGGGCACAATGCGTGTGCGCACCCAAACGAGGTATTCGGCGCGCGCGCCGTAATTATGTGTTAAGTACAGTCAGGTGACAAAGTTTGGAAGGTATTGTTATTTTTGCGACTTTTTTTGCAATTGATTTGACAATATCATTGTTTTTAACAGACTTCAATGAAAAGAGATGCTCAATTTGACCTGTAATTATCTTGCGATATTTAAGTGGATTTCAGTGTTTGTTACACTTCGGAGAAGGTTTAAGTATATTAATTAACCGACTACAAAAAAGAGGGGGTTGAAATTAGTTTTTTAAACGAACATTATAAAAGAATTATTTCGTTAAGTAAAACTTTTCCAACCATTTTAAGATCACGTGAAATCTTTGGTTCGATGGTCGGGTTCAAAAGCATTATTGTTTAAGAAACTCAGCATTAATATGGTCATTAAAATTATGTCGTGCATGACATAGACTCGCCTTTATTCTAAAGTAAATTTAAACCTAATCAATAAATAAAATACTTTTACTTAGTTAATAGTAATAAATAATGACAAACAAACGGAAATACATAAAATATATTAATTAAACTTGATCATGTAGTAGATTGAATACCGTGTGGTTAACGACATGGGACATAATATAGTAAACCATTACTGTTATAGTTAAGATCGTTCTTTTAATTATATTTAACAATTACACGATAGAATAATGACTGTGGACTTTCCAACTGCTTTTTTTTTCTTTCTTTATTTATTATTGTCACCGGGTTTAATTGTTAGTGTAGATATTAAGGGGGAAGTAATTTATAGAATCGTAAATTACTTGTATAGTCGTTAAGTCTATATTAATTAAGGATATTATAAAAGCAACTTCAATGATTGAAAAACCTTGTGTTTTTTTAGATTATCAATATAAGTGTGGGACAGCCATGCTTTGGCACGAATGACCGGAGTGTACCACGGCCTCACTAATAACCGACTTGAAACAACGCTTGCGTTGTGTTTCGTCGTGTAACTGAGGTTACCGGAGGCCCAATTACCTCTTTCCCCAATAATTCTCAAATTCCTAACCCCTAAAAGGCCGGTAACGCACTTGTAACACCTCTGGTGTTTCGCGTGTCCATGGACGATGGCGATTGCTTACCATCAGGTGAAAAAAATAATCTTATACTTAAACATTTTTATAAAGTTTTGCATATAAACTGAATGATAATTAAGATAAGACTCGATTTGATGAATAAAATAGTAGTTTTAAAGCCAGATATAATTCACATTTTCATAACCGAAGCTTGAGTCACTTTCAATGTGAATAACTCTAGCTAACATATCAAGATAATTTTGAGTCCATCAAGAATGAACCCAAGACCTCGCACTCAGCAACACCGTCAGCCACTTGGACTAATACAACTCAATATATCAAGTTGATTATTTTCCATTTTTTTAAAGGTCAAACAGTACCATGTATTTGTTTGCTGACTGTACCTGGTGACGGCACGTAACCTCGTCCCTCATATATCATCTTAATTAAATTTCTCCGCCAGGGACTTATTTACATGATTGTATGTATATTGACTTTTATGTATGTACATACACACAGCTACACGTCAAGCTTTACATAACCATTATAAAATGAACGTTAAATGTGCGGAAAGATGATGCGACGCGGCACCAGGATAAACTAGTTTTGTATAGATTGACGTGTGGCCGTGTGTACTATAGGCAGGTTACAGTGTCAGCGATTATCGGGAGCGATTTTGTTTAAATATTAATGTTGGGAATATGATTATGCTCTATGATCAAATGATCATGGCTAAATACAATACATTTTTAACTTTTCCTACTCTTTCTGAGGGTACACAAAGAGCCGAGGACATTTAACAGAAATGAACCAACAGTGCTATCTGATAAACTGGAACTTAAAAAAACCCTTTATTTAGGGATTAGGGAAGGCCAAGATTTCAGCAATGGTATATTATGGTTAATGTGTTATTGTATATGGTATAAAATAGGTACACAAATATGTAAACGTTGCCAAAAATCATAATCGCCTCACAATTTATATTTCACTATTCGGTTTCACCAGCTCTGCTCGGCTCCTATTTATCGCAGCGCGATGTTTTATAGCCTATAGCCTTCCTCCATAAATGGACTATCCAACACAAAAAGAATTATTAAATTCGGACCAGCAGTTCCGGAGATGTTGTAGCATATAAAGTTTAGTTTTGTTTTCCCGCTAGTAATAAGACTTCGCTTTTTTTATTACATTCTGCCTGATGTAAACTTCGTTTCGAATCTGGCAACTTGTACTGAGGAGTCAGCTTTCTTGTTACCAGTGTTACCTGATCAGTCAATCCTGTTGACAGTTTATTTTTAACTCGCATATTTTATACGGTAGCATTGTTAATTACTGAAGTTTTATTTTGCGACTCGAAGGACCAAAAAGGACCATGTAGAAATGTGTAACCTACTTTCTACCTTTTTTTTAATGTGTGTTTATTTAGTATGATTCTTTGTTTATAATAATTACAAAATAACAAGATGGGTATAGATTATAATATCTTAGTGACAGTACAGGACTTAGAAAAATAAATATTTCCGTGAGCACAGTTGATTTTTTAGCTCTGATCCCAATGTTAAAATAACCGTTCGAGCCAAAAAGTAATCTTATCTTATACTATTCTATAAAGCGAAAGAGTTTGTTTTTTGTTTGTTGGTTTGAACTCGCTAATCTCCGTAACTACAAGTCTGATTTGAATAATTCTTTTTGTATAGGATAGCGCATAAAACATCACGCTACGACCAATAGGAGTTGAGTAGAGCGTGTGAAACAGCGCGGAAGTAGCTTGTTAAATAATAAAATACAATATTTGCCTACATTATTAAACGATTAAGATAGTACCATAATTTTATAAATGGTAGTTTCGCTTCTTGAGTTACAGCCTTTAAAACGGCAGTTGCTTATTCCAGACTTCTGGACTTTTTTGTAAGGTGGGAATATCATCGAATGACTGCTCCCGTCTGGGTGAGGCGGGAGAGAGTGTCATACTCTTACTGCCTAAAAACCACCCCGTTCCTTCTCCTGCACGTCGAGCCGTAGCCCCGGTTACCCGTTAGGTTCTCCGCTACACTACAAGCCACTCAAAACACTTACCGAAAATTTTTACAAAATCATAATATTAATTCATAATACAAATCGCAGAAATAACATGTGTCCAAACCACCCCTACACGCCTTATCTTCAATCTTTCGAACAAGAGGGTGGGCAGTTTAGTAGTATAATAGCCGTAGCGATACTATCACGCTATGATACGATCAGAGATAAGCACAAAGGGTGTGACCTGTGACAAAAACGTTACTCGCGTGCAGTTGATTGAAACGTTTTGTTAAAAATTGTTGTTATTATAATTGTTTTTGTACCGTTTAAATATTTGAATAGTTCGAAGCGTGGTGTGAATAAAAAATTACAAATATTTGTTCACGCTAACAATCAATGTTTTTTCAGTTAAAATACTTTTTGGAACGAAATGGATACAGTTTTTCGGTGTTTTTAGAATTATTTTAGGATTATTGACATAGTCGGAACCTACACAGTGATGTTGTGCAAGGTTCTAGCTTCGTTTTAGTTGCTATTGAAAAGTAAACTTAGAGTAATCTATACTAATATTATAAAGCTGAAGAGTTTGTTTTTTTGTTTGTTTGTTTGAACACGCTAGTCTCCAACTACCAGTCCGATTTCAATAATTCTTTTTGTGTTGGATAGAACAATTATCGAGGAAGGTGATAGGCTACAAAATATCACGCTACGATCATTAGGAACCGAGTAGAGCGGGTGCAACCGCGCGGAAGTAGCTAGTACAAAATAATATTACTTTGCATCTAAGAGACTTACAATACTTAAAAGAGTTAGAAGTCTAGAAAGCAAGATAGAAATGACATTGGTATTTTTCTTCAAAAGTGCGTCTAACAGAGAAGATAACACATTATATCAAATTTTATAAATTTTATACATCAAACACGGGCTTGATAAAACGAAACAAAAAATGAATAATTCAATATTAATACAACCCACATTGTCTTAAAATACTTTTGGAAAATTTATACTTCGAAAACATACATTTCGTCGCTATATCCAAAACTTAGGGTTTAATAACACATCTGTATGCCGTACAAATGGCAATAAACCATAAGACAAATCGATGGGAAATTGTATAAACCATTTGTTGAGATGTGCCATGAAAAATACATGACTTTAAGGGCACAAACACCATAAATATTAACTTGAATTGACGACAATTTATGTGAGACAGTTCATGTTGAGTTTTTGGCAGAATTCAATAAATACTTTGATCTTTTTTAAGGTTTCAAATTCTAATGTCAGTCAATAGGGTAGTTCCAGGGTATCAAAATTAAAAATCTAATTAGCCCGTCAGTTAGATAATGAAAAAATATTAGACACGTATTTTTTTATTTTATCGTATGAAGTTGCAATACTTAGATAAAATGGCGCTAAATTTAGGAGTGGGAGGTCGTTACGTCATAACGTGCTACAAAATGTGACACGCTGTGACGTCACAAAATATTTCAAATTAATATCGTCGAAAGTATTTAATTTTGTGAGATAAGAAAAAATACGTGTCTAAAGTTTTAAATTAATGTACCAGGCGGACATTAAAATAAAATTTAGGAAACTACCCTATTATTGTTATTTTTTCTGGCATAAGCCAGTAAACGAGCAGTCAGATCACCTGATAGGTATCATTTAAATTTATTTTTAATTTAATTCTTACCTTGCATATCTCGAGTGATGTGAGTCAAGGTCTGACTTAGAAGGGGGAGGAGGTACGAGCGCTGGTCCTAGGCCCAGACCTAGGCCTCCGCCCAACGTTGGGGAAAACCGGTACAATTCACTGGGAAAGAAAGAAATAATTAGTCAGGAATTCTTTGTAGAAAGATAGCTGCTACTTCTTTTTGTAGATAATTAGGGGCTGAGATCATTTGGAATTGCTATAGTGGAATATTATTAATAGAAACAGTAATTATGGTTTTCGAGAACTTCTTAGTAGGCTTGCTTACCAAACTATTAAACGTTTAATATTATGTTACAATTGTGTAATACTTGATTGTATTACGGAATGAATTACTTCTGAATATGAGAAGGGGTTTAACAATAAAAATCTTATTGTAGTAATTAGTAGAGTAGAAGTAGTAACTATCATGATTAAGGACAGTACAGGCAGATTATTTAGCGATAACAAAATAATGGAAACTTCGCGTTTTAAAGGACCGAATTTCAAAATCGCTATACGTAGATGGCGCTACTATCGTTTATGGCAACCAACTATTCTTGAGGAAGTTATGATAGTATTTTCTTTTAGATGGTTTTTTTCTGTTTGTTATCGTTAAATAATAGGCCTGTACTGTGAATATAATAAGTGTGTATGTACCTAGGGATACCATACCTCGATAGACTAGAACTTGAGATGGGCAACGACGTGGGGTACGGACTTCGAAACCCGCTCGCCGCTGACGATATAGGATACATGGTTGGCGTGTGCCTGGAAATAAATCGATTTGTTAAGAAGATATAGTTAGAATGATCTTTTTATTTATTAAAGAAGGTTTAGAACATGATTGTCACTCTCATATAGAATGACTTTAATTATTGCACCTAACCCCACCAAAAGGACGACAAAATGAACTTATTTTACGAATAATTGTCCTGAGATTGAGAGAATTGAAAAAGAGTAACCTATGGAGTTTCTTGCTCGTTCTTCTCCATAGGAATATACACCTTGGAATGAGCAAAAAGTTCACTTTAATTTTTTTATTGACGATCAAAAGTGCCTTCTTGGTCTAATTGAAATAAATAATTTTGATTTTGAATTTAATCATTTAGTTTGTTCAGTTATAGAGTACCTATGATTGATTAATTTCTATTATCAACATTTGTTACAAAGTTGGTCCTTTTGGTCGCAAAAGCACTAAGAAAACTAAATAAGTCTTAAAAAGGATTACAACTTAGGTACAACCTACTATAGAATTATATAGAAGTATAACATGTATATGAAGTATGATATAATATAGAAGTATACTTCTTGATTAACTACTTCATAGATACTCATAAAAGAATCCGTTAAATTCTTGAAATGAAATTATCGTGTAACAATTTTTTATCACGCCAATGACATGCGGTTTGCTGATAATTTGGATTTAACAGTTTTCAGTTTTCCGTTTTACGGTGGAATAATTGAATAAACCATCGCTAAAACAACTCTAAACATAACATGAATAAAAACAAACAGAATGATAGTAAACTCACCATGAGGCTGCGACTTGTGACATCTCTGGACTGAGCATGGGGTAGGGGTACGTCCCCCCAGGGAAGGGGTACATGGGGGTGCGCGCCAACCCAGCCGCTGTAACATGTATCTAGTTAGTATCTACATTCAACAAACTTAGTAGTTGGATATTTATGTCCAGAGACGTATGGGAAGTATATTAAATAAAGATATAATTTGAATTTGTACGCTATGTTTAGATACAACTTACTTGTTATTTTATGTCCAGTTACATGTATTTGGAAAGTTTTAGATGGAAAATTATTCTCTATATTTAAGTTTTAGATGGATAAATATTCTCTATATTTAAGTTATAGTTCAATAGGAAAGTCAATGGACATAGTAGTAGCTCCGTGTAAATAAAATACTGACTTTTAACTGAATCTGGTTATAACTCTTCTTAACCAAATTATTAAGTTATGCTATATAAATTATTAAGTTAAGTTATGCATTGAGCCAAATATACTAAGACCATACTTGGCCCAATGGCCAGTGGATAACCTTAAGGTAATGCTAGAAAAGAAATCATAAAAGATTTATTTTAATATGGACTTACCTAATTTAGAGTCGAGCTGGTAAGGCGGAGGTATGCCCATATGGGCAGGAGGGGGCTGCCCCAGTTCGCCACCAGGACAGAACAACGATAGGCCTCCACCCGCTGGTAAGCCCATCTTACCCGTCTGTAACAAAAATGAACAAAAATTTAGTTCATACAGTTCAAAAGGCAAAATATTTTCCAGAATAAAATAATAATCCGTTCTCTCCAGACACAAAAAGATCACGTAGTCAAATCCTGGCTGAAGACCAGTAGACACAAAACGTAACGGGACCGGCGTCATGTCTACAGGCTACAGAACCCGAAAAAAACGAATATTTTCGTAAAAAGAAACAAATGAACAAACAACCTTCCACACAACCCTAAAAAAACAAGGTTCCACGGCAACAAAAACCCGACAACTACTCTATGGGAAGACGACGCGTCATTAGCAAGTAAATTGGCGCCTGGAACGTATAAATTTCGTTCTACCCTCGCCGTCGCCCAATTATGCAAAATGGCGCCCAACGAGGGCCATTGAAGCGCGTCGCACTTCCGAGCAGAGTATCTCACCTCTAATTAAACTGGGAATTCTTTTCACCACTTTATTATGCGATATAAACGACAGTACACGCAGACGTTATTTAATTTTGATGGTTTTTATTATTGGCAACTTTTTGATAGTGGTTTTTTAAGAAAAAAGAAAGATAGTTCAGATAGTACATTTCTTATTATTGAATACTCAATGCGGTTTCCAGTCTTCGTCTTACAAGGATAATGAAATCGTCAAGCTGATATAATACGGTTGTCATAAGAATATTTTAAAAGCTCGTTCGTAGACATATTCAGTTATGACAAAGGCATTTCAAAGCTTGTCAAATTTGAAAAGCAACGCGAGTGAAGTAGCACTGACCAAGAACGTACTCTAAACACATAATTCCAAGCAATTTAAAAGTAAAAGGGCTGACAATCCCTCGCCCGTCTATAGTCGAAGAGCAGGAACTGCTTATTAAGACAATAATTACCACGAACAAAGAAGCCCCACTAATTAATAATAAAACACGAACAAACAAAGACCTCCATTCACGCTCGGGACAGTTTAAAAAAGAAAAAATAACCGAAACGGTGGTCGAAAAACCTCGACATGCGAGCAACGAACAAAAAGAAGCCATAGACAATGATGACAGTCGAGACGCATAATGCGGGAGCAGCGCGTTCTTAATTTGAAAATATTTCCATAATAAGATTTGTCTATGGCGCGACCGGTAGAAACAAAAGAGTTGAGCGCGCTTTGTTCCGTTGACAGACGGCAATAATTCAAAATTATATCACGCAATTAGATACCGCTATTAAATACTTAGCGCTGACGCTGAGCTGAGCTGCTTTATTAGCTAAACAACTTTTCTCGTTAAAACTTGCATTTTTTTAAATTAGTAGGCATTTTTTCAGCTTTGCGTGTACATTGAGAAGGTCCCTAATGAAGGCCAGGTGGAGTGGCCGGCTATTGAAGAAATCGCTGAGTGGGTAGTTATTGAAGCCGCATGAAAGCTCGGCGTGACGTCACCGCCACTTGAGCGACAAGCCGCAGTCGCTAATTGGAACTCGTGGCGATAGGACGCGAGAAATGTTGCCTCAATCGACTAATACTTCAAATTTGAATAGGTTTGTTAACGAGCGGACGGTGAATGTTGCGAATAAAGTTGAGTGCTCGGTTTGCATTCAGTATACACGCGAGTTTTCCTAGTTAACTTTTAATTCGGTACTTGTATCGAAAAGCTTCGGAAGAAGTAGATGTCACCGAGTTTAAAATGGAATTGGTGAATTCCATCAGGTCGTAGCGGGAACGGAACGGTCGCACACAGGCGCGCTGCTCCTACACCCCTTTGGTTCACCAATGCGAACGAAGTAGGGCGTAATATCTTGAGAGTTCGCCCCCGGGGTAGTGGGCGTGGAAGTAGGATGCTGTGTTGCTATGGCAACCATGTGTAGGGGTGATCGTACACGTGTCCTGCGCCTGTGTGGGTGAGGGGTGGCGGTCCAGTGGTGTGCGTGCGACGCCGACCACCGACCTTGGAAGTTTTGGTCTAGTTTTAGATCTCAGCTAGGTACTTAACTTTAAAAAGACAATGTTTTTATTTAAAACAAAAGACACGACATGGTCCTATTGTACTGTTTTTTCTTGAGATTAAAACGCTAAGAAAAACAAAAGATTTTATACAAAGACAATTCACATTTTTTAATTAAAACATTAGAAAAGTTTACTTCTGTATATTTCCTTTTCAACTGAAATGGGAGTGCGGATATATTCCTTATCCATTTCCGGTATTGGTCCTTCGAGCCGGAAGTGAGGCTGTGAGCCCGACGGGTTCATATAACGAGGGAGGCTGTACAGACAGACAGACCTACATACATACATTTACATATCTATCTACTTTTCCATACAATTTGATAGCGAGAGAGATTCTCTGATAAAAAATAGGATTGCGATTGTGTGGTGTACTGGAAAAATAATCATAGTTCATGTATAATATTTGATTTGTTCGTAGTATACTGTCTTATTGAGTTTAGTTTATATATGAATACAAACTCCTGGGTCCGATTTTGATGGTTCTCATAGTCTCTGCCTACCCTTACGCCGAGTATGTATTTAATTGCATACAATTTTCGATATTCTGAACTAATAGTATTAAATCTAGAATTGTGTCATTATAATTACATTGCATTGTAAAAAAAAACAATGAAGAATAGAATTATCATAATTGTCATTCGATTCAATAACGGAAAGAGTATTATTATACGTATATCCAATCACACTAATATTAGAAATGTAAGTTTCTTCGTTTGGATATTTGTCTGTCGCTACGCTGAAACTACTGAACGGATTTTGATGAAATTTGGTATACACGCAGGGTATGTTCTAAATAAGATCAAGTTTTTAAGAAGCTACCTACTGAGCAGTGTCTAATATTGTAATTATTAACATAGAAAGAAACAGCTCAGAACATAAGTCGAGACGTATATACAGTTAAATAAAGCAATCATTCAAGAAAATAAAATAAGACGAATTAGGTACTTTTACCTCTAAGAAGTCATACAGAAATAAACAAAAAAAAAACAATAAGGAAAGGACCGATTAAAACAAAAAAAAAATACAAAAAGCCGTTATTCACAATTCTTTACTTACAGTAATAATGGCTGAAAACTTTCCTCTAAAGCTACAATTCTTTTACAGCGAACGGTTTGAAGAAAATCTAATGGTGAAATTTTCGAGGGTGGAGCCGTAGTGCGTTATTCAAATCTGAATATCGGAGGGTAGTTGGAAACTCGGGAGGGGTTATTGACCTTTCCCGAGAGCCTGTGCGAATCTATGTATAGAGGGTTGGAATTATTTATACTGGATGTGGTACGCAAAATAGAATACTTTTTGGTTAAAAATAAATATATCTTTGGTATTTTCCTGTGCAGGTCTGGTCGATAAAATTCCACGTACAAGCAGGACCTTTGCACCTGATTATTATAATTATGTTTTCCTGTACTCCATTCTTCATTGAATTAATTCTATTAATTCAATGAAGGACATTCCTAATAAAATTATGTATTATCACTACATAGTATAAAACAAAGTCGCTATCCGCCGCCTGTCTGTCCCTATGTATGTTTAGATCTTTAATACTACGTAACGGATTTTGATGCGGTTTTTTTTAATAGAGTGATTCTTAAGGAAGGTTTATATGTATAATGCATGCATATTGCACTCGTGAGAAGCGGGGGCGGGCCGCTAGTACTATTATATAAAGCTGAAGAGTATGTTAGTTTGAACGTGCTACTCTCAGGAACTACTAGTTCGATTTGAAAACACCTTTTTGTGTTGGATAGTCCATTTATCGAGGAAAGCTACAGGTTATGAAACATCACGCTGCGCCCAACAGGAGCCGAGCAGAGCGGATAATAATAATAGAAACTAACTTACGTAGTCGATTAAAAATACTTCGAAATAAAATACAATACAATCAATTAAGTATGTATGAACTCGTTCTAATAACACATGTTTATAAATGTCAATGTAATAAATGTTCACTTGAATAAAAAATAATAATGTCAAGAATATTAATACTGAAATTCTATGAAAAGAGAGTTTGCGTTTACGAGACAAAAATTTATTAAATTAGGTACTAATAAATTCACGATAAAGGCCAAGTGCCTACAGTTCAAATACAACTTTTCAAGAACCGTTATATTATATTTTATTTTTAAAAATACGGCTGTAATATGCATTAAAAATAACACGGAATTTATTTTTGCGTGTTTATTTATAGAAATAACATCAAATATCGACCTCAATCATAAGATTTATGTTAACCATTTCAATGAAAAATCCAAAACAATACCTCACAATATTCCCAAGTACGCTCATAGGACCCCATCTAGCAATTCAAAGAGCTACGACCATCGGCAGTGAAGGGCATGCCAATTATGTTTTTGACGTAGGAGGCTGGCTTTTACTAGGAAAATGAAATAGCCGGTGTTTTCCTAACGAATATTTGCAAGGGGGTAATATTATATACATGTGTGTGTTGTATGTATGTATGTATATGTGTACAACTGCGTGGGGGCGATACAATTTTAAGTTGAGTCTTGTGAGCCATTTTGTGTTTGGTTATTGTTAAAGAGCTTTTGTTGTATTTTTTATCTCTTATTATAGGTTATTTTTAAGTGAAAGGTTAGACTATAAATGAACTACCTATACCCAGTTTTTAATTGTCATAGTTTTCTGTTTTTTTTTAAGAGGTGAAAATCGTCGATAGACTGCTCCCGCTTCGGTGAGGCGGGAGGGAGTGTCACTCTTACTGACTAAAAACCACCCCGTTCCTTCTCCTGTACGTCGAGCCGGAGCCCCGGTAACCCGTTAGGTTCTCCGCGACTCCGAATCGGCATAGTTTTCTGGTTATGAGTTTTACCACGCACATCATGGGAGTATTACTTGCTACAAATAGAATCAAGTCATAATCGATTTGAAGTGTTAACTCAAAAGTCTCTCTCTATCTCCCTGAATACCTCTAAAAAGAGAAAGAGATAATTTTCAGAAAGAAATAAGCGTTTATCCCAGAAGGAATAGGCAAAGTAACACCTACTTTTCACTATTTA